AAAAAAAATAAAATATTTAGATTAAAATGAAAAAAAATAGTAATTAATAGATAATTTATTAAATAAAATCGAAATTAATCCTCAAATTACATGATTTAAAAAAGATTACCAAAATTTAATGGTGTAAATTGAATACCTATTTGTCTGTACAACGACCCATAACCCTTCTCTCTCCATCATGACTTCACGCTATGGACTTTTTCCATTATAAATTACGCCTAAAAAAATTGTAAAAGGGCTCGTGGTAACGCGTTTTCTAAGCTAATTTGTAATCTAAGGTTTGACTCTTTTTTTAAAAAAATTTTTAAATTTTTTTTATTTTTTTAAATTTAACTTTTTTTAATTTAGTTATTATAACTCAAATTGTAAATATATTACATAATTAAGTTTTGAATTTTCTTACTTTCAAAATCGTAAATTGTTAAATATCTATTTGTCCGTACATGGATGGATGACCCTACTCTCTCCAACATGGCGTCACCCTATGGACTTTTTCCATTAAAAATTACATTTAAAAAAATAATAAAGGGCCTACAAAAAAGTCGCCACTCCCTCACTCTCATATTTTCTCTAATTCCCTTTTTTTTTTTTTTTTCTTTTCTTTAAAAATTTCTTTATTTTCTCCAATCTTAAAAGCAGTAATTTGACGGTCTCGATGGCGTGTTTAATAGGTCCAACCTCTAAAGTATAATGAGAAGTACCTGAGATCAATGACAAATCAGATTTTATTGGAGACATTACCATAACACAGACCCTGACAATAGTGACAATTGTGGTCATACCGGCTATTGACATCAAACTCTTTAAGCCAGTGATTTTTTCAACTAGAGATGCATGAATTCAACAGTACTCAATGCAAGTAAATTGGTTATTAAGGTAGTGATTAAACATGAAACTACATTTCTTTATTTTCTTTTTTGGTACGGGCAAAGGTCCTTGGAAGAGAGAAAAAAAAAAGAAAGAAGTGAAGAAAAACAAATTAAAGAAAATATGAAAGTGGGAGAGTCGCAACTTTGTTATGGGCTCTTTTATAACTCTTTAAATGTTATTTTTAATGAAAAAATTATGAGTGTGATGCAATGTTGCGGAGAGGAAGGTCACTTGTCATTGGACATTGGATGTAATCGGAAAAATGGATATTTAACTTTCCTCGTTAATTTGTCATTATAAATTCGTTAATTTGGGACTATTCTACTTAAATTGTGTAATTTGAAACTAATACCCTTCAATTTTAGGGGTGTTTGGTTGAGAAACTTTCTTTCTTAAAATTCTCTAAATTTTTTTTTATAAAATTATTTATGTATTTTTACATATTAATATTATATATAAAAAAAAAGATAAAAGTGATATTTTTATTTTTTATTTTTCTAGATATAATTCTTAACGTGTAAAGATTTTTTTTCTCACTTATTTTGTTTGGAAAAAGTTTCCTTATATGAGCTTACTGAATAATTTTTCTCACTAAGTTTTTCTATATTAATTTTTTATTAAATACAACAAATTAATAACCCAATAAAATTTTAACAAAACTTCGTTACGAAACTTAATAACCTTTTATATAACACTTTCTATTTTTTCGTATAATATTTTTTTGAATACTTTTCTAATAAATTTTTTTTTGTTGATAAAATGACGCTTTAACAAAACCAAACGGATCTTAAGGTGAAGGCAAATATCCTTAAATTTTATGAGTGGAGGGTAAATAAGGGTTTATGCCTTTTTTGATAGGTAAGACACCAATCTTTCCCTTCTTCTTCTTCTTCTTTTTTTTTTTTTTTTTTCTCGAGATTTTGTAAGTGGATAAGCCAGTGTTTTGAAAACCCACCGGTTTGACCTTTGGTTTTTGGTTGATTGGTTGAATCGGTTAAATCATTCAAACCACTATGTCAATTGAATATGAATAAATATAATATTATATTAAAGTCTAACACAACCCATGCAGTGGTTCTATTGGTCTGTCATTTGGTCACGCAAATTGGAATCCTCCTGATGCTACAAATGTAATTATTTTGTTTTTAACCCGTAACTTACAATATATTAATGAATTTTCTTCACGTATAAAGTATATCAAATATAATTTTTTAAATTATAATATAAAAATGT